ATAGGAGAAAACCTTGACAGCAGCTTTATGTGGGAGGATATGTTATATACAAAGGAACAACAATAAGGATTGCAGTAACTTTCTTATTGCAACCATGGAAAAAACCTGACACTAGTGCCGCATCTTCAAAGCACTGCTCGAAAGTTACAGGAAACATACTTCCAAAAACAAAGGTTAAGTAAAGACACTTCAGACATACAAAAGCTGAAGGAATTTGTCATTAGCAGATCCATGCTACAAGAAATGGGCGAGACATCATTTAACTTAGAAGGAAGCGACATTAGATTGAAATCTGAATGTATACAAAGAAATGGACAGTGCCAGAAATGGCAACTACATGAATAAAAATGTCTTTTTTTTACCACTAAATCTTTTTTTAAAAGTTAATAAACTATATTAATAAAAATAGCAATCGGGGGAATTACATGCACAAGTAAAATGTAGCCCCAAAAAAAGTGTGGGGAGAAAAGAAACACAAGTAAATTACACATCTTTGTCATTTATTCAAAGTTTTGTGTGTGAGGTGAAAGTAGACTGGGCTAAAGATAAAGCTGTGGACTGTGATCTCTTTAAGAAGCGGTGTGACCCGCCCCAGGGAGGCCACTAGTGAGTCACTCTCTAGTATAATCTGTTTGAGTGAAGGTGAAACTTGTGACTTGTTTCTAAACAACAGAATATAGTACTGGTGACGGGGTATCAATCTGTTGATTAGGCTGCATTAAGCAAATCACACACTCCTGTGATGCCCTTTCGTTGTATAATGTTCCCCAGCAAACCAAAGGAGAGAGCTCTCCTGCTGGCCTCGGGGAAGCAAACAGGCGGGTTGCAAAGGCCAGCGGCGAGGATCACGTGGGATCCAGGGCTGGCGAAGAGATCCTAGCGGATAGCTGGTAGGATGGGGCCCTCCGTCACACAACCACAAGAGGCTGAACTCTGCCAACAGTCTAGGTACGCTTGGAAGCCGATTCTTCCCTAATTGAGCCTCCCGAGAAGAACGCTGCTGGCTTAACATCTTGATTGCAACCTTAGAGTCCCCCGAGAAGAATATAAAATCCTGTCCCAGAGAAACTGCCTGAAATCCTGACCTACAGAAACTGAGACATGACATATGAGTGTTGTTTCAAGATGCTAAATTGTGGTGATTTGTTGTACAGCAATAGAAAACTAATATAAGCAACTCCTAAAATATGAAAGTAAAGAGTCACAGCTAATAACCCCCCAAAAAAGATAATTTGAATCTGAATAATACCACATTTGAAAGAAGGCAGAAAAAGGAAAGGAGGAGAAGATGAGGGAAACAGAAAACAAATAGCAAAACGATAGACTTTAAGGCTAATTATATGAATAGTTACATTAACTGTAAGTGCCTTAAATACCCAAAAGGCAGAGATGATCAGATTGGATCCAAAAACAATTACATTAAGAAATGCACTAAATATAAAGACAAATATATACAAGTAAAAGGGCGGGAACACTTTACGTGCTAATGCTAACTAAAAGAATGTTAGGGTGGTTATTTTAGTATATATACATATACTCAAAACAAAACATACAACCAGAAATAAAAAAAGGTAATTTCATAGTGATAAAGTGGTCAGCTCATCATTTGAATTTAATAATCATAAAAGTTTCTGCACACCTAATAAGAAACCGTCAAAACATATGAATCAAACCTGGCTGATTTGCAAGGAGAAATGACTGAGGTTTAATAAATCTATAGTCACAGTTAGGATTTCAGTAAGCCATTTACAATATTTGATAGAATACTACCCCTAACAGGAGAATATCCATTCTTCCCCAGTGCACATCACATGGTCAAACAAGTCCATACTATTGGTCATAAAATGCATCTTATAAATGAGTAGAACCATGCAAAGTGTGTTTTATTTCTGTAAAGGATCTAAATAATTTCCTCTATGTTTTTAAAATGATGATGTACTCTAAAGACGGAGCAACTTTTTAATTTTTTTTAATTGAAGTTAACTCTTAATCTTTCTTTAGATTTCTGCTCAAAATCCTTTACCTATGAGCCTAGATGAAGCCTCTTTATCATAGGTTCACAAAACTCTGTGGACTTTTTAATACTACAGTTAATTGTTACATTTCATTACAGAATTATTTGAAATTTTTTTTCCCATTTATTCATTTTTGAGAGAGAGACAGAGCTTGAGCGGGGGAGGGGCAGAGAGAGAGGGAGACAGAATCTGAAGCAGGCTCCTGGCTCTGAGCTGTCAGCAACAGAGCCCATCGTGGGGCTCAAACGCACCAACTGCGAGATCATGACCTGAGCCAAAGTTGGATGCTTAACCCACTGAGCCAACAAGGCACCCTGAATTATAGACTTATTTGATTGATATCTTTCTCCTTTCCTAATCAGCAAGCTCACTGAGGGTGTGAGATGGATATATGTTTGCTCATAACCAATGGTAAGCAATTAATAATTTGTTACATGCACGTTATAAGAGAGGTAGTTTATGCCAGGTCTTAGTAGGCTGTTTTAAGGATGCTGGTTTTATCATAAGAGGAATTAAAAGCTATTGAAGGTTTCTTGGTTATTAGATGGCAAGTCAGATTTCAGTAAAGTAAATTTAAACCTGAATTCTGGGTAAAAAAAAAAAAAAGAAAAAG